TGTTTACTAAAAAAAATGGCTGGACTAGGTAGTAGTTTGAAAAATAACAGTTGACATTCCCGGTTCAAACTGGCTAAGGGAGCATAATAGAGCTGGAACTTTTCAAAGCCAGTTCTCAGAGAATTGTCATTATTCTACTTGTCTGGTAGTTCTCTGGAAAACACCACTTGCAAGGCTGTCTGTGACCTGACTCGAGCTTGATACTCAGTGTGAAAAGCATTTTTCCTAAGAAGCATTTGTCGGGAAAAAAAAAAAAAAGAGAATTACATATATGTGTTTTATCTTTGCCGCTGCCGGAGACAGTGGATCACAGTTGAGACAAATAGTAGACTATCTAAAAAGCTTAAGGAGAGCCGAGGAATGAGATATCCACAGGGACTGTGAAAAACTGATCTATTCTTGGAACTCTAGAAGGCCACACACAGGGCAGGGCTGGGCATATACTTAGGGAAGTCTCTCAACAAACACTGGATGATTTATTAGTTCCAGGCATTTAAGGAAATCTGTCTTATCATTAGTTGACCTTAAGTTAACTGAGTAAAGACATCAGTGGCCATATATAACAAAATCAGACTATAGAATTAGCTCAGAAAAGTCATTAAACAAAGAACAATAAGCAGCAGCAATAACAAACCCTGGGTTTATATGCAAATGATGTCTCACCAAATAAATATAAAAAGATAGAAATTATAAAGAAAATAGTCAAATAGAAGCTTTAGAATTGAAAACTACAATAACTAAAATGAAAAATTTACTATAGGAGCTCAACATTGAACAGGCAAGAGAAAGAATCAATGAACTTGAAAACAGGAACCAATTCAGATGATACAGTTGGAAGAAAAGAAAGAGAAAAAAAAAAAGAATTTTTAAAAAATTAGCAGAGCCTCGGAAATCTGTGGGATATCATCAAATATAGCAACATACATAGAATGGGAGTTCTAGGAGAAGAGAGAGAAAAAGGGAACAGAAAAAGTATTTAGAGGAAGTAATGGCAGAAAACTTCCCAATTTTGATAAAAAAAACCATTAGTATATATGTCCAAGAAGCACACTGAACCCCACGTAACTCCACACTAAACTCAGATAGGATAAACGCAGGGCTTCCTTGGTTGTCAGATGGTAAAGAATCTGTCTACAATACAGGGGACTCGGTTCAATCCCTAGGTTGGGAAGATCCCCTGGAGAAGGAAATGGCAACCCACTCCAGTATTCTTGCCTGGAGAATTCCATGGGCAGCGGAGCCTTGTGAGCTACCGTCCATGGTCTTTCAAATAGTTGGACACGACTGAGCGACGAACACACACACACACACACACACACACACACACGATAAACACCTAGACACATGATAATCAAACTGTCAAAAGACAGAGAGAGAATCTTGAAAATAGCAAGAAAGAAGCAACTCACAAAGCATCAAGCACAAAGATCCTTAATAAGATTAACATCTCATTTTACATCAGAAACATGGAAGACAGAAGGCTGTCGCATGATGTATTTAAAGTACTGAAGGAAAAAAACCCTGCCAATCCAACATTCAATATAAATAAACAAAACCATGGTCATTCATCACTAGTTTACACACTCTGTAAGAAAGAGTGTCCATCAGGCAGAGATGAAAGAACAATAACTCAAATCTGCATAGTGAAATACAGAAAATGGTGAAAGAAACTATACAGGTAAACATAAAAAGGGCAGCAAAGGTCTATTTCTGTTGGTAACTCTCCTTTTTTTTCACCTGATCTAAAAAAATCACTGCAGGGACTTCCCTGGTGATCCAATGGTTGAGAGTCTTTTTGAAATTCAGGGGACATGGGTTTGGCCCCTGGTCGGGGAACACGCTGTGGAGCAACTGGGACCATGCACCACTACTGGTGAGCCCACAGGCCACAACTGCTGAGTCCACATGCCGCAACTAGAGAGTACATGCGCGGCAACGGAAGCTCCCGCATGACTCAACGAAGATCCCGAATGCCGCAGGTGCAGCCAAATAAAATAAAATAAAATAAAATAACTGCATAAAGCAACAGTGATAAATCTGTTGGGGTGGGCATACCATGAACAGAGAGATAATTTGTACGATAACAGCACAAAGGAAGGGGGAGAATGAGCCATATATACATTCATATATATAAAATATACAAAGTTTTTGTATATTATTGAAATTATATTTTTGAAATTATTATTGAAATTAAGTTAGAATTAATTTGAACTAGAGCATTATGTTAATTATACCTCAGGACAATAGCTAAGCAAAAAGCAGGGAGTGACCAACTGTGTCAAATGCTGCTGATAGAGATCTATCTATGATGAAATTTGAGCACTAACTGCTTGATTTGGCAACATGGAGCTCACTGATGAGCAGTTTTACAGGCAGGCTAAGGCATAAAGCAGACTAGATTGGTCCAAGTAGAATGGGAGAAAAGGAGGGGGAGAAAATTATTTTTTCTTAAAAAAGAAAAAGATAATTCTTTCATGAGTTTGCTGAAAATGGGAGAAGAGAAATGGAAGTGGGATGAAGAGTGAGAGATAGTTAACAGGTTTGTGTGCTGATAAGAATAATTGAGCAGAGTGAGAAAAATTGATAATTGCCTTCTCTGTCACTTTTATTAAGGAAGAAAATTTGAGATCAGAGGGAATTATTACAGCACCTTGCTTCTTACCCAAATGTCCCAGGAACTGGCATCTTTGGTTATTGGGAGAATATGTCTATATATACACATGTATGTATGTACACACATATTTATGTGTATTGAATAACACTGTATTAATATATTATGCCCACTAGAAAAGATAAAAATGTAAATTTTTAGAAGTTTAAGATAAATTTGGAAAAAAAAAGTCGATAAATAAGATGGTGTATCATATAATCACTAACAGCTCAGGCACTCAGACACTCAGAGTAAGGTACATAGTGAATAAAATCATGCTTCAATTGACTTCTTGCTAATTTTGAATTTTCTGGCTGTCTTTTTATCAGCTACAGTTAAGATTCATCCTTGCTCTTACTTTGTAGTGAGTTTATACCTAGAAGAGTAGTAATGATCTTTTTTTTCTTGTTGTTCACCCTGCCTGCATTAGTATTATCTTCCAACTGGTTTTGGTTTGTTTGTTTTCTTGGCCCAATTTCTTTTTTAATTTTTATGGAGAATTTCAAACAAACACAGAATATGAACCCCAATATATCCATCATTCTCCTTCTTCAATTATCAACTCATGACCCCTCAGCCCTGTAGTATTTTGTAGTATTTTGAAACTAATCCCACATATTGTGTGATTTCACCTGGAAATAATTCAGTGTGTATATATAAACACAAGGACTCTTTAAAAAAAAAAGAAAAAAAAACCTAACTACCATGCCATTAGCGTAACTAAAAAATAATTTGAAGGAATCTTTAACTTGAAGTAATGGAGGAATCTCTGCAACAAAAAATCAGGTCGGGAAAGAACTATGTTTTTAGCATAAAAAAGCTGAGGTCATTATTCACAAGGAGTAAGATCAAAATAATATGAATCTGATGAAGATTCCTTCTTTGCATAAACTAGTTGGGGGATTCTTCTCCAGTAAACTAGAGTGGTGGTCTCTGATGAAAAACTAATGTTTATGGTAGTGGGTTATGCTGGTCCTCAGGTACTCTGTGCATGCTAAGTTATTCAGTAGTTACTCTTTGTGATCCTATGGACTGTAGCCTGCCAGGCTCCTCTGTCCATGGGATTCTCCAGGCAAGAATACTGGAGGGGGTTGCCATGCCCTCCTCCAGGGGATCTTCCCTACCCAGGGATCCAAGCCTGTCTCCTGTATTGGAAGGCAGGGTTTTTATGTTTTGTTTTTTTACCTCTAGCACCACCTGGGAAGAGAAAAGTTAATCCTGGCATTGCTAGCGGAGTGAGACTGAATAGGTCTGGAAGCAACCAATTCCCTCCTACATCCTCTCTCCACTTTCAAAGGCAGAAGCTGGAGCTGATGAAAATCACATGCTCATCCAAGTGAAGTCTGATGGAGGTAGGGTCTGTATTGTACATTACAGGAAGGGATGAACCAGGGACTCCACCATTCCATGGGCAGAGTGGGGGAGGGTCACTAAGCTGGCAGAAGTTGAAGGAACACAGGCAGTTAAGCAAACAGTTAGCTTGGGAGGGAGCAATGAATACCCTTTGAAGGCCTAAATAGGGGCTGGAACTTTCTCTTCAGTGTGCTGAAAGGGAGCCAGTTTCCTAGTTAAGGCAAGGTCCCAGTTAGCCCTGTACTATTTGTGGCAGTTCCTTGAAATTTGTCAAAAACTCCTTAAGTATCTCTCAAAAAAATATGTTGTATTTTGTGTGGAGATGATTGGGGGGTTGGGGCAGAACTTGGACTGGCAAGAGAGTATATGAACGTTCCTGCAGAGGAGTTCTAGCACCCCAGTGATCAGGCCACGGAAATTCACAGCCCCCTCACCCAGGACCCACAGGCTCTGTTCTGCCTTGCAGGGTACACGTTGCCACATCTCTGGTCCAAACTGTGAAGTTAGGTTCACATCTGGATTCTGTTATTTTTAATATCCACTCCCCCCCCCATTTCTTGCCTGGAGAATTTCATGGACAGAGGAGCCTTGGTGGGCTCCATGGGGTGTGAAGAGTTGGACACAACTGAGGGACTAACACACTTTACACTTCCTTTTTTTCACTTCTCCCCCCTCCTCCATTTCAGGCGTCAGCATACAATGGCTTTCAAGTTTTCTGACTAATAATAAAAATAAACGAGTTTCATTAAGAGGTTGAGATTAACATATACAGACTACTATATGTAATCAACAAGGACCTACCGTATAGCATAGGGAAGTCTATTCAATACTCTATAATGACCTATAATGGAAAAGAATCTGAACACAACATGGTAAATCAATTATATTTCAATATAAAAAACTTTAAAAAATAAACTAGCTTGCATGTTATATATACTCAAAATCGGCTCAGCATAAAGGACAATGATTTGACTTGAATATTTATCTTTACGATCAGCGAGTGGAAACTGTCAGACAATTGGGGCTCGGGTCTGAAACTCTGGTCGACGCGGAGACTTGGGGCCACTCTGCTTCAGTCCTCGCACTTCCTTCCGGGGTAGCTCCGAGTGGGCCGCGGGGCCCCCTCCAGCTCCTTCCACGTGCTGGTGTGGCCCCGCTGCCTAGGGCCCCCACGGGGACACAGGCAAATAACCCCAAACGCTCTGGGTCCACTGCTAGGGCGACCCGACCGGGGGCAAGGGAGGCCGGCCAACGCTACCAGCCCAAAGCGAAACGCGACAAGTGGGCGGGGCCGGGCGCCGGAGGCGGCGTGCATTCAACAGGCCAGCAAGGCTTCCCAGCTCTGCGAGTCCATTCTGGGGAACCGGGAGAGGACTCCTCTCCTCATTACATAACGGCCAGCGCGGAGCGGGCCCGCTGTAGTCGCTACGGCTCCTTCCTCCGCCTCTAGAAAGCCTGAGGAGTACCAGCCCGGGACAAGACAGACGACAGCGGTCACCGCAACTGCGTTTGCCGTCCCGTCTGGAGAAGGCAGACGTCTCCGGGCGCACGCGAACTGTCTCTCTTAACCCAACGCGTGATCTTCAGTCCGGCTTTTTGGAGAGGGCAGCCCAGAGGGGAAGAATGGGCGGGGCCCTGCGCTCTGGGAAGGCCTCCCATTGGCTCCTCTCTCTCCGCCCTCAGACCCCATTGGCCGCGGGTCGAGCGCACGGGCCGAGCACGCTGCCCCACGACTCGCGGCGTTGGGCTGGCGGCGGCGGCGCAGCCAATGGGAGCGGCCCGCGGGGCAGGGCCGAGGGCTCTGGGTCTCCGGGCGCGGGCGAGTTGGTAAACAGATCCGGAGCGCGTGCCGGGGGCCAGCGCTGAGGCGAGCGCGCGGAGGCTGCGCGGAGGTGACCGCGGATCCCAGCTTCCTGCAGCCGGGTAAGGCTGCTGCTCGCCGGCCGCCGCGTGCCTTGGGCGCTGTCTGCCTGAGGCCAGAGCGGGGCTTAACTCCCGCTTGGGCCCTTCTTGCATCCTCAAGTGACAGCGTGGCTTCCCCTTAGCGAGTTTCATTTGCCCCGAGTTCCGGGCCGCTGCGCGGTGGGCGCGCCTCAGAATGCAGGGTGGGCGCCTACGGCTGTCTGCTACCCCCATTCCCACAGCCCATACGTGTCTCGCGGAGGGTACGAAGGCTGCTTGCCAGAGCCTTGGCTCCTGCGAACTCGCCTAGCTACGCTGGTGACCTGATGCCTAGTTTCTTGGTCGCCAGTACTGCTTTCCTGCCTCGCTTTCTTATGAAGACATTTCTCTTCACGCCTAGACCCCTTTGCACTGTCTCAGGGGCGCTAATTGTCCCTGGCCCGAAGTTTGTGTCAGGACTTTGATGCCCCCGGCCCTAGCCAGCTGTTGGGTTTCACTCGTGAGGGTTTTGTATGAACATGGGAATGAGGATCCTTTTTGGTTCTGTTCTCCGTTGGCTTTTCTTTGGCCTGTCCTCCTGTTTCTTCAAATGCTGGGGGTCTTGTCAACGGTCGTGCCTTTGCGCAGTGCCTGCCCTTCTGCCAAACGGAGGCTGGCCTTCCCATGTGCCTTGTGGGATGGGGAATGCTGCTGGGGGCTAGATCTGCATCCTGGAACTCTCCATTTGGATGCCAGTCCTCTGAAGGGTGAGCGGCTTCTGTGCAGCCTTTCATCCTAGGTAGGGCCTGCAGCCCATTGGGAAACTCGTCCATGCTCACTTGGGCATTGGGTGTGCGTGACAGAAGACTGAAGAGCTGGGCCTGCCAGGTCTAACTTGTTGTTAAAGGATTTGAGCGTGCATGGTGCCAGCTTGCCAGTTGTTATGCTGGCAAGAGGACCCACCTCTGGAGAAGGTACAAAGCGGGAGTTGCGGGGGGGTGGAAACTGGTGATTCTCAGGGGAAACACCTTTATGATTGATGATGGCTTTGGGCATTTTCAACTTTGCAAATGATGCAGACAAAACAAGGTTATGATTTTGGGCCTGACCTTGGACAACTCAAAGGAAAAGTGAACTAAGGTGGTCTGAATGCTTTCTTTTGTGTCATATAAGCCAGGGTTTCTCAATTTTCAGCAGCATCCCTGGCCTCTATCCATTAGATGCTAGTAGTTCCCCCCTCATCTCCCCCCACTAGTTGTGACAACCAGTAATGTCTCCAGACATTGCCAGATGTCTCCTGGAGGACTCAGTCAACCTTGGCTGAGAACCATAGAGATAAAAACTGTAAAAAGACTCTTCCCATGCTGCCAGAGGCCCCCTGGGAACTGTCCATGAGTAGCTGAGAAGTTTAGGTAACAGATAGCATTGTGCTCTCTGTCCTAAACCAATGATAGCAGCCATGTTGGTTGGGCTTTAAGGGAACATCCTTCCCCTCTTCTCCACACCTGAGGGGATAGGAGTGAGATAGGAGGTTAGAAACCTATGGGCATTACCAGTCCCTGCTGAATGCATGGCAGAGACTGAGTCCAGAATACAGAAGTGGGCATGCATACTAAGTTGCTTCAGTCATGTCTGACTCTTTGCGACCCTATGGACTGTAGCCTGCCAGGCTCCTCTGTCCATAGGATTCTCCAGGTAAGACTACTGGAATGGGTTGCCATGCCCTTCTCCAGGGGATCTTCCCAAGGATCCAGCCCAGGTCTCATGTCTCCTGCATTGGCAGGTGGGTTCTTTACCACTAGCGCCACCTGGGAAGCCCAAAAGAAGTGGGAGACTTGTGGTTTCTGTCTTTGGCGACTTTGCAAGACTCTGGGAGATATGCACGTGAAATAACCATGGGGTGGTTTTTAAACAGTGAGCAAAGATGTTTAAGCTGTCAATGCTGACTGAAAGGCCAATTAATTCAGTTTTCCATAAGTGGATTTTCCAAAGTGATACTTTGCTCATCCTCACTTACTTACTGAAACATCTCTTATGTCTTATGATGTGAGAGGGGTCTAGGCCATGTCTGCAGAGAGAAAGTGTCTGCATTTCAAACACATATGTGGGTGTATTTACTTGTACATGTACTCCTTCAGAAAGAGGCTACCCAGAAGTGTACTGGTGCAGAATGGACTCACGTACAATTTGTAGAGTGCTTTTACAGTTGATTGAAGCATCAGAGACAATGTCAGAGACAATGAGCCATTTGTTTTTGCGGGGAAAGACGCTTTACTTCTGAGTCTAGAGTTTGTCTTCACTTTAACCCAGAATTTATGCCTCAAATTCCAAAGTCCCAAACTGACGGATGCAGAAAAGTGAAGAAACAATGGTTATTGTACAGGAAAAACACCCCAAGTCCCTACCGTGGATTTCCTTTTCTTGTCATTGATTGGTCCTATGGGGATGTATCAGGATTTTCCCATAACACTCCTTGGTTTGTTAGGGGGTCTTTTGGGTACCCTTTCTTGCCTGCAGGGTAAGACCTCCCTGTACAGGGAGGTCAGTCTTCCTTTCTCAAAAAGAAGTTTAGAGAAGCCTATTATTGGGAAGCTCCAAACTTGGCAGGATGATTTTCCATCAAGAGTTGTGGACACTGAGTCATTATCTTTGTCAGTTGAAACAAGAGCTGTGTGCAAAATTAGACAGGAATATTTAGATAGAGAGTTGTCTTGATCTGACAGTGGCATCTGGAAATAGTTCCAGCATTCTTGCTAAACAACAGCCAGGAACTTGGGAGAGCCAGGAGAAAGAAGAGCTGGTGGGAGGGGGGGACGTGAGGGTCCTGCTCCGTTAGGAGTTGGGCCCATCAGGGAGAGGGAGTAGTGGGAATGGGATCCGCTGACTCTGAGGCAGGGTTAGGACCCTGAGTGGGGTGTGTCTGGGTGGGCTCCTCCCCACAGTTTTCCAGTCTGAGTGGTCTGTTCATAAGCATGTTGTTCATTGTGGGGTTACAGGCTCCTGAGCTCTTGACCTTTTTGCTTTGAGGTCAGGGGCCTACAGAATATTTAAAGTTGGAAATGATCCTGAAAAAAATCTTTTTATTCTTCATACTTGGATATGATTTATTTTTTTTTGTTCTGTCCATGCAGAGAAGGATTCATGAGAAAGCTGAGAGTTTTTCGCTCAACTTGCCATTTCAGAGTATTGTAGATTCTCTTGTAGTGAATAGTGACTGAGTTCTTGTCTCCAGAGCCCTCAACTTGCTTTTTAAAACATTGCCCCGTTTCCATCTGGGCGGAGGGAGAGGGGCTGCATTTGGTTCAAACCTGGGAAATTGTGTGTAACCTAAGGGTTAATGCCCCTCCATGTCCTGCCCTGAAGAAAAGTCCTGTGTGACACTGTGGGTGGGCTTCCCAGGTGGCACTAGTGGTAAAGAACCCGCCTGTCAACACAGGAGATGTAAGACACATGGGTTCAGTCACTGGGTCGGGAATATCCCCTGGAGGCGGGCATGGCAATCCATTCTAGCATCCTTGCCTGGAGAATCCCATGGACAGAGGAGCCTGGTGGGCTGCAGTCCGTGGGGTCGCAAAGAGTCGGACACGACTGAAGCGCTTTAGCAGCAACAGCAGCAGCTGGTTATTTACTTCTTGTTGAACAAGTATCAGTTGATTGTATGCCTTGAGTGTGACATTGGGAATATAAAACTGAACAGTTCCCTGGGTCCCTGGCCTCTGGGAATTGTAATAAGTGGTATGCAGATACCACCTAAACACCCTCAGTGTGGTTTGGACTAGGGGCTCTGAGTGAGATCACTTCTGGCTAGTGACTCTTGGAGGAGAAGGCGTGTTAACTAGGACACTGAGGATGAGCAGGATTTTAGCAGAAAGAGGGAGGAGTGTACAGGAGTGAGGGGCCAGGGCTTCCCAGACTATGCTGAAGGCCAGGTTTTATTTTTTCCTGATTTGCTGCAGACCAGTACTCCTGCAAAACACACTAAACGTGTCATCAGTTCAGTTCAGTCGTTCAGTTGTGTCTGACTCTTTGAGACCCCATGGAATGCAGCACACCAGGCTTCCCTGTCCATCACCAACTCCTAGAGCTTACTCAAACTCATGTCCATCGAGTCGGTGATGCCATCCAACCATCTCATCCTCTGTTGTCCCCTTCTCCTCCCACCTTCAATCTTTCCCAGCATCAGGGTCTTCTCCAACGAGTCAGCTCTGCACATCATGGCAGTGCTGGTGGCTGTGAGGGTTTCTGAGTGCTTGTGCGTAGTCGCTCAGTTGTGTCTGACTCTCTGCGACCCCATCGACTCCTCTGTCTATGGGGATTCTTCAGGCAAGAATACTGGACTGGGTTGCCATGCCCTCCTCCAGGGAGTCTTCCCAACCTAGGGATCGAACTCAGGTCTCCCACATTGCAAGCGAGTTCTTGACCATCTGAGCCACCACCAGGGAAGCCCCAGAATGCTGGAGTGGGTAGCCTGTCCCTTCTCCAGGGGAACTTCCTGATCCAGGAATCTAACTGGGGTCTCCTGCATTGCAGGCAGATTCTATACCAGCTGAGCTACCAGGGAAGCCTTTCTAAGTCCTTACTCCTGTTACTTCATCACAGATGACACCTTCAGTCCCAGGCCCATTCTTTGAGTGGCATCTGTCCAGGCAGTGGGCTCTTTGAGCAGAAGCCTTGGAACTGGGGACTGCCTGGTGGGGGTGAGTGCAGCTTGGTGGGAGGGTCAGGAGTTGAAGGGGAGTGGTGGGGGACTAGGCTAGGGAGTGGATGGGGTGAGTCCCTGCTTCGTGTTGAAGTAGCCTGTGCGATCACCCTTAGGAGTTTAGGATAGTCCACTGATACTTCTCTGGCATTTTATCTCAGCAGTGGGGTCAGGGGGCCAGGTGGGCTTGGCCTAGCCATCCTACTTTTCGGCTGATAGTTCAGGCTGGAAAGGCTTTCCTGAGCGCCCACAGCTCAGTTGCAGCCTGGGGAGCCCTGACAGAGAGGGAGGCGGCTCCCTGCCCTGGCGTATGTGCAGTGGACGCGGGTATCCGAGGGTCCTGGGCAGGCTGTGCAGGGCCGGGGGCTGTGGGACATGGGGGCGGCCCTCTGCTGTGGGAACCCAGGGTGCAGTGCTGCTGGTTCTATTGGGAGATGGCTAACGAAGTGGACTCCTGTGCTGGGAGGTCTAGGAGCTGCGGCCTGAAGGGTGCCTGGGCTTCTGTGGGAGAGACAGGATCCAAAGCTGAGGCCTGAGCAGGAAGGGGCAAAAGTAG